GTGTGTGTGCAGCTTGAGAAGTGTTTAGTCTGGTGTGAAACCATCATGTTAGTATATTTATTTATATTTTATTTAAAGTTGTTTCATCAGTTAACAAGTGAACTCTGTAAAGTTTCATTGCAGCCGTAAAACAAAAGAAGAAGAAAATCTGTCGAGCTCTGTCACAGAGAGGCTGCTTCAGCTCAGGTTGAACTGCTTTTCCTCGCTCGTCTGTGTCCTGATGTTCACCCGGTTTTATGAGCAGCTGTAAATCACGCCGTCTCAGTTCTGCGTATCCTGCGGCCATGGCTGCACGCTGAGCCGGCTGGCAGCTGCTTGTGTCTCCGCCACATTTAAACCTCAGCAGCTAATTCGATGGCCCCCAAACGTGCCCGGGCCTGCTCGGCATGCCCTGTCTGGAATGTCTGCCTGAAAACATGGTGGAAGCCTTTCCACGCCCTCCTCCCCCGCTGGCCAAGCGAAACCCTGCACGGTGGGTGGAGGAGATGTCAAAACAAAGCAGTGGCTGGAGGTGAAGTGCCATCTCCTCACACGAGCTGTTCCTGGTGTGGACACTCGCCTCCTGTTGGTGGAGATAAACAAGAGGGCGGTGTGAAGTGTGTGGAGGAGGGTTTCCAAAATAGTCTCCTTTATGACCTAAATAATGACCAAAATTGACAAAATGAATCCCCAAAACAGCATATCTGTAACCACGAGGGTCGCCCCCTGGTGGTCTGTGAATAAAGTGCAGCTTTAACTTCACTTTTCAGATCTGGATGTTCATATATCATCCCGCTTGTGTTTGGGAGCTTTGTGTCTGTTTGTGCTTCAAAATCAGCACAAAGTCTCCTACCAACCAGAAAACAGGAAAAAATGAGGCCCTAATATTGAACCCTGGGGGACTCCTCCACTGGTCTCCATGTGCAGCTGCTGTAGGATCATTCTCCGCTCTGTGGGTCAGAATGACGATGATCTTTGAACAAAAAGCCTCATGAAGTTTGCATCGTCCCCGTCTGACCTCCCTCTGGATCTGGATTTTCGCCCTGATATTATTGAGCAGGTTCAAAAAGACGAGACAGACTCAGCAGAAGCTCGAGTCTAAGAAATCCATATGAAGAGACGTGATGCTGTGTGCTTGCTTATACATTACATCTGTTTCCTGTCTGATCTTCTCCTGCAGAGGTTCCCAGGATCACGTCGGAGCCTCACGATGTGGACGTGACGTCAGGAAACACCGTCTACTTCACCTGTAGAGCCGAAGGCAACCCTAAACCACAGATTATCTGGCTCAGGAACAAGTAAGGCTAAACATCCCGAACTAAGGACGGGTGGGTGGGTTAACATCGAAACGCATCGCACGCATTTACGAGCTCTGCTTTTTATCGGTGCGTCTTCCTCGCAGCAATGCGCTAAACATGCGCGACGACAGCCGTCTGAACCTGCTGGAGGACGGGACGCTGATGATCCAGAACACCAGGGAGACGGATCAGGGAGTGTACCAGTGCATGGCCAAAAATGTGGCCGGAGAGGTCAAAACGTCCGAGGTCACGCTGCGATACTTCGGAGCTCCGTGTAAGTGTGCGCTCCCGAGCACGTTCACTGTGACAGCCATAAAATACACGATATCCCATTGAGACGTTTAAAGACGGTGAAAGGGAGCGTTGTGATTGAGGTGTTTGCACCGAGAGGTCAGAGGTCAGCAGGTCAGGCGTTACAGAAACATTCACAGCTACAAACTCTCAGCCACACATACAGTCTGATTTAACAAACAGGAACCAGTTCATTACTTATTACTAGTTACTTCCTGTCAACGCTCCAGACTAATTAAAGTTACTGTTTGCGTATCATCTTCACACTGATGTCAGTGAAATGTAGGTGCCATGTTTTTCATGCACTCTATGCAGCTAAAGCTGTGGATGCAATGCATTATGGGATGCAGTCCTGTTTTTTTTCATTTCTGTTTATTCGTTCATACATTTTATGGTCATGATTGATGCTGAGGCTGGTTTCTAAACGCTTTATGAAACATCAGTGAGTTTCACATCTGGTAACCAGAAGAATCAAAGATATCGTTTCACTTTCATCCCAGAACCAGTGTGAAAAACGTCAGTGCACTTCTGTATATGTGAGGGGCTTTTATTGTGAAAAGGAGCAAAAGGAAGAAGCCGTGTGTAGAATAACCAGGTTTCCTGTATGGATGTGGCAGCAACAGCAAGTCTGGAGTTCATGGCTGACTTATTTAACCTGCATCAGATTATCTGTCATGTTTCCATGACAACGGAAACTACAGCTAGCTAAACTGGTATTAAAGTTGCAAAGCTTTGGGAAAAGGCTGAAACCACATGAGAGCTAAAATCTGAGCTGAAGGTCACGGCCAGCCTGTGGGAGCAGCTGTTGTGCATTTCCTGTCTCTGTGTGGCTGTAAACCTCAGGTCTGTGTACACACTCTGACTCCACTGTAATCACTGCCAAATAAGGGCAGGGCACAGCTGCGTGCCGTGACACACGGGGATGGTTTCAGAGTGGCATCATCGATCCCAGCACGAGCTGCCGCTTCACATCCTCAGATCTTTATTTTAGAAAAAGTGAGGTCACCACCGTTCCCATGTCTGCTCCTCCAGCACGGCCCAGTTTTGTGATCCAGCCCCAGAACACGGAGGTCCTGGTGGGGGAGAGCGTGACCCTGGAGTGCAGCGCCACGGGCCAGCCGCAGCCTCGGGTGTCCTGGACGAAGGGTGACCGCACGCCCCTGCCCAACGACGCCCGCGTCACCATCACCCCCTCCGGAGGGCTCTACATCCAGAACGTGGAGCAGGCTGACGGAGGACAGTACACGTGCTTCGCCTCCAATAATGTCGATACCATACACGCTACGGCGCACATCATCGTACAAGGTAAGTCGATCGATGACAGGTTTGGGTGCTGTGTGCCTTTGATGACCAATTAAAACGTCATTTCCTGCTCTGCCTGTAGCGATCCCTCAGTTCACCGTCACGCCGCAGGACCAGCTAGCCCTGGAAGGCCACACGGTGGATTTCCCCTGCGAGGCGACCGGCTATCCTCAGCCGGTGATCGCCTGGACTCGAGGGGGCAGCCCGTTACCCTCGGACCGCCGTCACGTGATCCTGCCCTCCGGCACGCTGCGCATCACTCGGGTGGCGGCCCACGATGAGGGCCAGTACGAGTGCCAGGCGGTCAACCCTGTGGGAACCACGCGCACCGCCGTGCAGCTCAGCATCCAGCAGAGAGGTGAGGAGGGGGGCGGAGCTTTAGGCTCTAAGAGCAGGTGGTGCTTAGATGAAATATGGCTGCCAATCACAGGCTGCTTGTTTGTG